ATGTACCTGCTTACGTACTTTTTGACTATAAGGTTACAAATTCTTTTATCTCTGCATCCTTTGTTGCTAGATCTAACTTTACATGTTTGAAAATGAATAATGAATTAGAGGTCAGAATCCCTTCAGGAAGAACTCTGTGCACAAATTAGATGACTAAAGTTATAAAGTTAAAGGTTGATGGGAAAATACTACACGCAGACTTATACCTTCAGGAGATGAAAGATTTCGACGTTATTTTAGGAATGGACTGGTTCGGACTTAATCTTGTGACCATTCGATGTCACGAGAAAGAAGTGTTATTTCATAGACTCGGAGAGGAAGAGTTCTATTTCTTTGGAGCAAAGTTCAAGTCCATACCTCGCCTTGTATCGACTTTACAGGCAGAGAAGATGTTGAGAAAGGAGTCATGCCAGAGATTCTTAGTTAATATCATCGGTTCCAAATATACAGAAACAACTGCTAGATTTTGCAGATATATTCCAAGAAGATCTACCAAGTATCCCACAAGATAGGTAAGTGGAATTTACAATTGACATAGTTCCCAGAACTACACCAGTATCTAAGGCCTCTTACGGATTAGCACAGAAAGAACTTCAAGAATTGAAGTTACAGTTGGAAGAGTTGTTGGAAAAAGGTTTCATGCTACCGAGTGTATCTCCTTGGGACACTCCAGTACTTTTTGTGAAAAAGAAGGATGAGAGTGTGATGATGTGCATTGACTATCTTGATTTGAATCATCCGACTATCAAAAATAGATACCCGATGCCAAGAATAGAAGATTTATTCGACCAGTTAAGAGGTGCAACGATGTTTTCGAAAATCGACTTGAGATCGGGATATCATCAACTGAAGGCCAGGGAAAGCAATATACCGAAAACTGCTTTCAGGACTCGTTATGGATATTATGAATTCACTATCATGCCAGTAACCAATCTCCAATTGTATTTATGGAATTCATGAATCAAATATTCTATCAGCACCAAATGGTACTTAAAACTTTGAGGAAGGAAAAATTCTATGCCAAGTTCAAGAAGTAAAAATTTTGGCTCGATCGAGTGGGTTCCCTTGGTCACGTAGTTACCACCCAGGGAATTGAGGTAGTCCTAGTTAAAGTGGAAGCAGTAACTAATTGGCCTAGATCGGCCAGTGAAGGTGAAGTTCGTAGT